ATATATATATATATATATAATGTTACGCAAAAAAGAAATCTTGGAAAATGTAGGATGGGCAAATCTTCTTTTTCTTGCGCTTTTATCAAATACAAATTATATATTTCTGCAATTCAGGAATTTGTGATATAAATATAGGATCTGCTATATTATACTATATACAACTGGTATTTTATTGTAATAAACAAGTAATAAAATTATTAGTACATTGCTAAGAAGAGAGTTTAGATCTATTCTCTCCTTATACAGAATCTCCTTTATACATTAGATCACTTGAAATACTGTGTCATTGATTGTAGCATTCCCATACAATGACTTTTTTGTCTTTGCCACCAGTTATTACCAAGCTACTATCAGGTGCTACTGCTAGAGCTGAAAGTGACCCTAAAAAAATACATATAATTATTTGGAATTCATCTTATAAATCCAGTTTAGTTAAAAAAGTTTAACAAAATTGTCACAATTGGTCTAATAATAAATTTATATATATTCTATTTTCAATATAATATAAATTTATATATTCTAAAAGGAAGAAAAAATAAAAAATATAACCAATAAGAAGATTGAAAGTGCAGTTGCAATCAACATTTATTATTATAAACTTTATATAACTACATATTTAGTCAAATGTTAAATATTAAAATATATTTCTTAACTAGTTAGCTGTGTTGCCCTCTTTTAAAAATGTGTACCTAAATTGTGTTGCAAAAATAAAACTAATATCAGTATACTTGTCGACCTACAGAGTATGTGCAGTTGCTATAATATTGAATTAAGTTTAATTTGTATGATGAGTATACTTGTTATAACGCTAAAAATTGTCATTTTTTCATGACGAGTATACTCGTTATACACAGCTAACTGGTTAATGCTCGTAATATCGAGATGTGATCAAATATTTTGCAAACTTTTGTTCTCTCTATGATGGCTCACACTCACATTCTGTTGTGCATGATCACCATCATGTGTGTTATTCTCCTTGCAAAGTAAAATACTGATCCCGTTATCCTTTCCATTGAAATACTTGTGTTCTATTAAAATAATTTTGAGAATCAGTCTTTTAAAATCCAATATGCAGTCCTTTTTTAAATTATTTTAAATTATTGGCATATTGCTATAACTGTGCCAATCTCTTCTCTTTCAGAAGAATTAAGCAAAATTGTTAAACTGACAGACATGTTGAATGTAGGATAAGAACCATTTAGTTTTTTGCGATAAATTTACAGGTAATTATAGCCATCCAGTGGATGCAATGAAAAAACCAGATTACAAGAAATCTATTTTCAAACTGTTTCTTTATCTCATGGATATAAAATCTTTTCCTAAAAACACTGTGATATAGATATATCTATTTTTGTAAAGTAAATCTAGTTCCCCAATTCTTGGATCGTTACAAACATATATTTCAAATGGTGACTCAACCTATTCTGTTTGTTCCATTGTAACGAAGAGCTTTTGCGTCGGCTCGATTATTATTTCGAATTCGCATAATGCTATAGATTTATCGTCATTAATCACTTTGTAAAGGTTTAGTTTTCAGTCGAACTTTTTTTGACGATGCGCGTCCGTTCGAATGTCTTTCCGCTGCTCGCAAGTTCAGATCACTCAAGATCCTTTGAACTGATCCAAGTGAAATGTTCAATTTGTTCGATATCTCTCGAACAGAAAGATTATTATCGCTAAGAATTAATTCTTTAACACGTTGTAAATTCGCGTCTGTCTTGATCGTTGCGGGTCGTCCTGTCCGTTTAGCGTCCTCGATAGACATCACGCCATTCTTAAACCTCGAAAACCACATATAAACCTGCGTCCTGCTCATCGCGTGTTGTCCGAAAGCTTCTTTCAGCATCTCATGAGTTCTCGAAGCATTATGTCCAAGTTGGAAGCAGAACTTAATACAGACACGTTGTTCTTTCAGATCGGATCCAACGATTGGATCCATGATTCGATACACGCTCTCGTCCATAATTTCTTTCCCAATAATACCACGTGCTATTTTTTTCGTATATTTTGCACTAAGCGGGAAATAACTTGTTAGACTCCATCCTAATACCATCTACAGATTAAAAAATGCATTTTTACCTACAGAGCTATCTCGCGGGCAGCCTGCGAACTTCTTGATCACATCTCGTGCACGAGCGAAACACAATTACCATAAGATAAGCTGATCACAACTGATAACTTATAATAATATACTATTTACCATCGTGACAATGTACTTGCGTGATGAACACGGTCTTACGATAGTCCCATATATTAAAATTTCCATCATTATCACCTATCAACAGGAATGCTCCCATCCACGTTACCGTGAGTGGTTCGTTCTCTAAATTGATGGAATATATTTGCGTGCTCGTTCGAACGTCCGTTACATTTAATATTTTGTCTTCGGCACACGATATCACACTGCTGCATTGTTTATCGAACGTTACTGCGTTTACTTTACACGTGTGACCTTTAAAATATATATATATATATATATATATATATATATATATATATATATATATATATATATATATATATATA